TGGCCGAGCCACCTATGGGTGGCTCGGCCCAGTGCCGGCCACCCATAGGTGGCCGACAGTGTCCTGTGCGCGGGCACAGTAAAGAGAGCCTATAAATAGGCCACTTGGTTCATTTGTTCAAGGGTTGGAAAATTTGGAGAGGCGAAGCCCTACTGAACTCAAGACTCAGAACTTAACAAGATTCAAGCTTTGGGACTTCGAGGACTTGCACATCCAGATCTGGTGCTCAGCGATCGTCAACGCCAAATAAGGCAGGTGTTCGAGAGGACCGGATCTCAGATCTACGCAGACGTACTCCGGATCTAAGCTTGGTCTTAGATCCCGAGACTTGGACGATTGTTAAAGGATTCAAGCTTGGACTTCGAGGACTTGCACATCCAGATCTGGTGCTCAGCGATCGTCAACGCCAAATAAGGCAGGTGTTCGAGAGGACCGGATCTCAGAACTACACGCAGACGTACTCCGGATCTAAGCTTGGTCTTAATCCCGAGACTTGGACGATTGTTTCCGTTGTGAATCAATCCTCCCGGCTATTATTTCCTTGGTGAAATAATACCGTCGCTACTGCTCAGATCTGACCGGGATCTAGATTCGCGGTGGTCCACGGATAAACCCCGGGCGCAGGCAAAGAACCACAAAAGCGAGCGACCGCAAAACAGGAGGCTCGTGATTTGTTCGCCATAACAAGGAAACAAAGTTGTAATTTTTCATTTATTTTTATTTGATTTTCGTTGTAACCGGATCTTATAAAAAGACCGAATCTTTGTAATCGATAAACTATTACAAGAGTGTACAATGGAATCAATGATGAAACCTACGATTTTTCCCGCGAACATCCTCACTCGGACTCTCTCGAAGGACTGAGATGAAAGACGTTCTCACTCGGACTCTCTCAAAAGCCCGAGACGAAAGGCATCTCCACTTGAACTCGGCAACGCATCTTGAACCGCAAGAGAACCTATCTTCTTCGTCTTCCCCAACGATGTTAGCTCATCACAGTCGCATTAAATGCATGGTCAGAACCATCATCACCCCCCCCCAAAGTCATTATGACTCCTCAGACCACGCCAGCACTTTAACCATTCTGTCACCACCATATTAAATGAAAGGATGACTTGGATCACTAACTGCTGACACATGTAAAGTGTCGGCTATCTAAGCCGACCACATGGACCTAGACAAAGTTACCCAGGTATCCTTCTTGGTTCACCATAAATATGCAGATTGTCTTCTACATGAAGGTACGCTGTTCTCTATAACCCAAAACCCTAACAACGACTTCTTTCATATATTTTTCTCCTTTAAAATCATCACTAACTCGATCGTCGGAGGAACCACCAGAGAATCCAACTCTGACCCTCTAACGTTCCGCATTTGTGTAGGAATCTTCTTCTGCTCAAAGTAATTCAGCTATCAAAGAGGATTGAGGGATCTTGAGCTCTCCCAAATCCAACCTAACCCGCATAATTAAGTTTCTAACATAAACGATGATAATATGTGCTAGGGATGCAAAAGGTTTGGATACTGTTCGGATATGGCTTGTCATCTGTATCCACTTACGAAAAATAGATAGTTTAAGAAAAACTCGTAATCATGTCTACAAAAAAGGAAAACGGATACAGCTCAAATATTAGAGAACGGCTATAGATACACTAACAAATACTAATCGGATCGGATATTTAGTAAACGGATATGGCCCGGATATAAGTGGTAATCATAACCAGATCTAATGAGCTTGGGAAGTAGTGTGCCAAGCTGGCATGTTTTCTGAGCTCAGCCAAACCATCAACATGAGAAAGAGCATCAACTCCAGCCAACATTGAAATCAATCCAGGTACATTGGCCAATTACATACTTTAATCATTTCTGTCCTTCAAGACGAGATTCAGAATCACGTGCCAAGATTTGTTGTCTAAAACTAAGCAAAGCATATTTCTGATTTCTTGTCGATGAAATTAAAATTTAAAAAAAATCTAGTCAAAAGGTATACGATGATACCGTCACGAAATAAAAAGAACGGAGTAAAACTGAGACAAAATTACGGCCAATGACGGCTGAGGAGGAGGATCGCCCTACAGCGAGAGGACTTTGCTGGGTTAGATGGCCCGCAAGAAAGATCGAGGGTTGAGGGTTCCAAGATTTCTTGAGTTGAGAAGAATGAGAAGTAGAGGAAGGGCGTTTCGATGGATGGAGGTGGAGGAGCGCCGAGCACCAGAGCTGAGAGTGATTAGGTTGAAATCACAACTTCGAAGGCGGAGCATCGTCGAGCAGGTTTGAGAAAATTGCGATTAGGTTTGAGAAAGGGACCTGACTGACCCGAGTAATACGTGTGTAGTTAAATAATATCCGAAATTATATCTGTATGTGACCGGTTTTAAATTTCGGTGGTCATGTCTGCATCTGTTAGGAACACGATTGCAAATCGGATCAGACATATCTGAATCGTTTTGCACCTGTACACGCTACTATCATGTCTATATAATTAAATGATCTCTCTCATCTACACTATCTATACTACTATATAATGAACATATAGTGGGGTAGTAAAAGTTGGATGGGTGGACATTTTCCTCCTTCCTATTATAATGTAGAGGGTAAAATGGTAATTTTACAAGAGCAATTTTTTCCCTTTATTTTCGTTTTTACACTAGTAGAAAACTGAGCAAACTAGACGGAACAAACTAGACGGAATTTTTTTTCCGTCTAGTTTGAGGCAAACTAGACGGAAAAAATTCCGTCTAGTTTGTTCCGTCTAGTTTGAGACAATCTAGACGGAAATTTCCGTCTAGATTGCCAAATTAGACGGGGTAATTATTTTTTAAAAATTTCCATCAACCTAGACGGAAATTCCGTCTAGTTTGCACAACCTGGACGGAATTTCCGTCTAGTTTGTGGGGAAAAAAATAATAGAAAACCCTAATGTTTCCGCACCCCACCCCCAATCTCTCCCTCTCAAATTTTCAGAATATCCGCGCCCCCCCTCCCTCGCCTCCCCCATCTCTAAAATTTTTAGAATTTTCGCGCCCTAGCAAACCCTAATGTTTCCCCACCCCACACCCCCAATCTTACCCTCTCAAATTTTCAGAATATCCGCTCCCCCCCTCTCTCACGCCGCCCCATCTTTCCCTCTCAAATTTTCAGAATTTTCGCGCCCTCCCCCCACCTCCTCCGCCCTCTCCGCCGCCCCGCCCCATCCCTTCCTCTCGAGCTTTCTCTCTCCTCTAGCTCTCGCCAAATCATCTCCTCATCAGATCACTGTAAGCTCTTTCTAGATCCCGATTTAGGGCTTTGAGCTCTTGATTCCTCTTTTGATGTGCTAACGTCATTCAAACTGATGCAGGACCAAGAGATCAGAGAGAAGATGCCGACGTCGAAAGGTATCAGCTTTCTCAATTTCGCCTCGTTTTCTTGTAAAATTGTGTAATTGGATCGATAAAAATTGAATCTTTGTGGTTTGTCGGTGAAGTGGGATGTGGGGATGGAGGTGTAAGTCGTCGGTGATCAAGAAGGAGAACTGTGTGCTTCGATGTCTATCGCCTACTTGCTATTCTCTCGTCTACGAGAGTGATCCTGTAATTTTTTTTACTGTTTTTCCCCCTAGGGTTTATTTGATTGATTTGTGTAGGAAAGTTATAACTTTTGGTTGTTGATTTTGTGCTTTTAGCTTGAAGAGGGGGAGAAGGATTATGTTCGTAGCCATGAGTACAAATTCTGCATGCGCAAGTAAGTGAAATTCTTGATTAGTAATGTACTAGAACAAATGCAGCAACGCATATGTGTCCATTGAGGAAATTTCTTCAAGGAAATTCTAGTTTGAGAGAAATTGAAAGAAGTGAAACAAGCTATCCCTTCAGAGAGCACACAATTAATATTTAACAAAACACTTCATTGCAAGAAGGAAATAGACCTGGCACTTGGAAAGCCAAAAACACTTTTAGCAAGTGGATTTCAGCACAGAAGGAAATTTACCTGGCACTTGGAAAGACAAAAACACTTCATGCAAGTGGATTGGTGCATCTGAAAATGGTGTGGATTCTTGGAATGATGGTAATATTTTTTGATGTTACAATTATTCTATTTGTCCATCTTTTCTTGTAACTAAACAGTAGTCGTAATTTTGGTATACTTAAGTCTACTGTTGTTCCTTTACTTCTTCTTATCCCCTTGGCTATGTATCTGTTAAAAGTTAGCAATCATATCTAGTATAATGTTATATTATGTACTTAGTTACTGTGAGATTCAATTAGTTGATGAATTGTTATTTATGATAAAGCATATGCTTCTGTTTGAGTAATTTTTGGTTGTGTTACATCAACCACATGCTAATTATTTATTACATGTGAGCGTGATTTGGCTTGTCGGCTGTTTTTCAGAGAAGTTTAGTATGATTCCTTCTTATACCCTTCTTTATGCTTCATGTAATTGATATTTGCCTGCCTGGACATGATCTGTTGGTTTTTGGTGTCTTATGTTAGTAGTTCTTGTTTTGTGGTTATATCAGTTCGTATGAGTTTAGCTTGCGACTCTTCTTTTTGGTGTATTCCAAACTATTACTCAAGATAGGAGGGATCGGTCTGATACTAGTTTAAGATATGTCAGTATCTTGTGTAGTGCAAAAACCACCATCATGAAGCTATGTCATGTTGCACCTGCATCTGGTATGCTTGTTTGATACTCTTATTGTGTCTATTCTTAGGATTGCCAAGTGTCATTTCCATGTTGGTGTGAACTCAACTTCTTTCACTCAATTATATACTTTTTGGGTTTTCTATGTACGAATTTACTTGTTCATATTGTGTGCCTGTCCGTATCATGTCTTTACATGAGTGCATATATGGATAGTTTGTTGAGGATGCATGCATGCTCATGACTGATCAGCTCTATGTAACTGCTGCTAGTGTGTGTGTGTGTGCAAGCGCCTGATGCTTGTGTGCTTTGCGCCTGTGCAAGGCTGTACTTACTTGATTCAGCATTATTTGTTTTTTAACAATTTTGTTAACATATTAATTGTTGTAATGTTTTTGTTATTACTTGATTCAGCATTATTTGTTTTTTAACAATTTTGTTAACATATTAATTGTTGTAATGTTTTTGTTACATAGTTCATGTTGTGTTCATCCTTTACTTAAAGGAATTATATTCGATAACTGACATGGATAAATTCTCTCTCAGTTTGAAGATACAGAGAACAAGCATATTTTCAAGATGAAAGCTCATATCTTATTTTCGCTTCAGAATCTTAGAGTTGTGTTCATAAGTGTATGACGTAGGTGTGGGACTTCCCTCCAAGAGTTTTGAAGTAAAGCTTCGGTTCCTCCCACTGACTGCTAATTCAGTAAGTCATTTGTCTCTTAGGCTATTTTTCTGTGAATATGATGGATCACAAAACTGTATATAATTACTTGATTTTTTGAGACCCTGTGATTAGTTCTTCTGCAAAGTTAATGCTTTCTAAGTGTATTTCATGGCATGGACTAATTGATGTTGAATTTTGCATAATGTAGGATCAAGGAGGAAGAAACATGATGCTTCAACAATTTGGAGGAGTAAATGCAATTGGATTCTATAAATTATGCAAAGTTCATCAAGTTATGTAAACAATTGTATACTTTATAATCTATGTAAAAAATTTATGTATCTTTCTAGTATTTTGGTGAATGTATTTTTTAAATATAATTATATTTGATATTGAAATATAATTAGATTGATTGTGTTGTATATGAATATGATTTGGTGTTGTGCAATATTATGAACATGTTATATATTATATAGCGTGCAACGTAGATTTTGCAAAAAAAAAAAAAACTATTGTAGCAGAGCAACCTAGACGGAATTCCGTCTAGGTTGCTACTGTAGCAATCCGTCTAGGTTGTCAAACTAGACGGAATTCCGTCTAGCTTGCCAACCTAGACGGATTTTCGTCTAGGAATCTACCTAGACGGATTTCTTACTTCCGTCTAGGTTGTTTTCCGTCTAGGTTGGCAAACTAGACGGAATTCCGTCTAGTTTGCCCCAATCTAGACGGAAATATTCTAGACGGAACAAACTAGACGGAATTCCGTCTAGGTGAACCAATCTAGACGGGAAATGGAGCAATCTAGACGGAAATTTCCGTCTAGATTGTTTGTTTTTCTACTAGTGTTATTTCTGGAAGACTCTAAATCTTGACGTGAGGATATGATTTGAGCTTTGCATAATTAATGTTATAATTTTTCAAGATAAACATTTATTTTCTTTCTTTTCTTTTCTTGTTTTTTCCTTTCTTATATTTAGAAAATTTTAAATCATGAAATGATAATACACACATATAATAAACTTACAATATCCCCATTTTTATTTTTTTTTATTTTAATCACTTATAGGAAACTACTCAGCAAAATTACGTTAAGAATAGATTTAGCTGTTAAATAACATTTTTAAGATACATTTTCTATGTAGATCTCCATAATAAAATTGCATAAATTAAATCATTATTAAACTATTATATGAAAATGTAAGAGTAATCATAAAACTGAATATTTTTGCACGTGCATCGCACATGCCAATGTGCTAGCAAGTATAAAGCACATGTTACTTTAATTAGATTTTGGAAGTAGAATTTGAGAATGAAAGTCTAAAACAATAAATTAGTCTTGTTTTCTGTATCAGCCTGGTTTCAACCAGAGCAATTAGAATGTTGGTTCTATGTTGGGCTGATGTGGACCTCTAGTCGTGGCTCGAAGCGTCAGAAGGTCAGTTGCTTTGATCTGATTTGTGCATTGGTGGATTCAATTCATAATATTGAATGTGCACCAAATGTATCTCTCTCTTTCACATGTAGTTGTTTATGTAACTTTTTCCAAAAGTATTTAAGCTTAATTACGAGTCGTTTGCACAAGTTTCAGTAGATAGAGTATTTTTTTCTTCTTCAAGAATTGTGTACTTGTTATCCTTGCTTAATTACTAGATGTAAATATTCAATATTTCATCAACAAATTTCTTTCGATTTTTATGTATCTAATCGTGTTTATATCTTTTATACTTAATTTTATGATTTTTATGATGTACGAGTTAAAATTTTTAACTTCGAACATGCGCGCGAGATTGGAGCCGCTCATGGACCGCTCCCTGATGTGGGGTCACCTGAACCTTTAGACGGTTCTGACAAGATTTTGCCCTGAATAGATCTGGTCCAATAGCAACTCTTTTACTTTTCAAGTGTAGATCTGCATCGTTTTTCGTTTTGTATTTACATTACCTTTAATTATTTAAATGCTGGTCGGTTTCATGACAACGCTAAATTGTTAATATTTTTCACACATTCCTTATTTTTTTTCCTCCTCCAGTTTTCTACGCGTCCACATCAATCTCGCTTGTGTGGTCCAAAACAGAATATCTAACAACAAGCTTTGCACCAAAATGTAGGGGTGGTAAAATGATTGAATCGAGTCGAATACTAATGTGTTTGTATTTGTATTTATTTATTTATTTTATGGAAAAACAAGGGTTATACCTTGTTCATTAAAAATAAGAGTAATTATTGTTTACAAAAGATGATACGAACTGTATCCTTGAAAACTTGGTAGATAGAAAAAGTAATTTCTCTTAACCAGTGATGTATAACCTTCTTCTCCCATACATCCGTGAAGATGAAGAGAGGGCATTGCCGTCATTCACCGTTGACACGGATATAAGGAAGAACCAAAGCCGGCCATACATATAGTAAAAAGAAGTTAAGCTTTCTATAAACCAAGAGAAAAAACACAAAACAGTCCACAAAAGATTATATATACATGTATCAAAAAAAGAAAAAAGAAAAAAGAAAAGAAAAACTAGCCGCACCTAATTTCCACTGCACTTTGAAATTGGCTTTTCCTGCAAAATCCCTGCTAACTTGATAGCATTCTTCTTCCTTTCAGATCCTGCCCAATCATATAAAGCAGAAATTGCTGAATTAATGATAGATTGAACAGTGAAAGGTGTCTGTTCAAAAATATATTTATTTCTTGAAGTCCATATACACCAACAAACTGAAGATAAAACGGAACGCCATAAAAGCCCATATATCCTGATTGTGTAGAGATTCAATTGATAGAATAAGTTCTTCTATTGATTTCGGCCAAATGAAAAGAAGGTAGTAATCAGAGAAATGCTTCCGGATTTTTATCGTAATATGGCATGAAAAAAAGATACGATCTCTAGTTTCCAAATGCATACCACATAGGATACAATAATGATCGCCTTGCCATCCTTTTTTATGAGAATATCTTTGGTGTGTAAACGATTCATGGATAAGAGCCATGTGAAGATTTGAATCTTGCTCGGAAGAACAGTATTCCAAACAACCTTAAAAAAAGCAGATAGAATTCCTCTAGAGTTTAAAAACTCATAAAAAGATTTAACAGAGAATGATCCGCTTGATGTTAGAGACCATTTAGGAATGTCCACTTTATTAATAACTCTATGTAAACCAATTTGATTCAATAGATCAAGTTTTGCATTATGGGAAACAGATGTAATGCTTCTTTTCAAAAGTGGGTGCCAATGCCAAATATTATTGTGAAAGTTTCCTTGACTTCGAATAGAGACATTGGTAGACATGGCTAAACTGTATAAAGAGGGATAAAGACTTGATAAAGTGTTATTACCAGTCCATTTGTCCTCCCAAAACCTGATTAGATGTCCAGAGCCAAGAGACCAAGACAAATGATGTAAGAAAGCTTCCTTATTGGAGGTAATGTCATTCCAGACTAAGGAATTATATGTGATACATTTCGCTAAATGTAGGGAAGAGACTTTTCTTACATAGAGCTGATGAATGAAGCCTCCTATAAAAGATTCTTGTTGGATAGCGTTAAAAGGATGACCACGTGAAGAAACCACGTGAATGATCTGGAGACAAACCCGCACTTTAGCAGGCCCACCCAAAACTTATTTTACAGCTATATATATACCTATTAATCTGTCATCTAGGTTTGGTGTGCAATTGAGGGTGTGCAGGAGAGAAAAAGTCGGCTACATGTTTCTTCTTTGACAACGAAGGAGGTGCAAGGATTTTTAGCGGCTGCGGCAGAAAAAATCACAGCAGGAGAATAGGAGTTCATGCGGATGTGTTTGGTGAAGAAAAATCAGCGGCTTTTGCGAGGGATTTTGGTATCCCCTTTGTGAGGGATCTGAGAGTTTGTGTGAGGGTTTAGATTGAGTAATTATAAACCCTAGTAGTATTCTCTCCCTATAATAGTAGATCTCCCCCCTCCTTTCCCCGTGGACGTAGGCAATTTGCCGAACCACGTAAAATTGGTTTGTTTGTATTTGTGGCCATTGTAATAGTTTATTAGGATCCCTCGACAAGTCAGTCCTAGAACTGATGAGAGGAAGAGCTGATATCTCACTTTGTTGAGATATTCACTTAAGATTCTTATTTCCTTAGTGAGACAGGAATTCTTATTGATATTTCTCTATTATTGTACACCAGAAACTCTGCCAAAATTTTCGCTGCGCACAACAAGTGGTATCAGAGCCCGGGCTACGCTTGGGCTATTTGGAGGAGTATATCAATTTGAAAGCTCGTCTAGAGCTTTGTTTGGTGATAAATGTGAGATCTTTTGGTAAAAGACTCTATCTTTTTAGTTTTGGATCTATTCTTCGTTCGTTGGTGCGTTGAGAAAGATGTTGGGGAAAGAATGTGCTTTGGGTATCGAGGGTGGTGCTTCTGGCGTGAAGACCATTCAAAGTTTGAATATCCACTCTATGAAGATAGATGTAGAGAAGTTTAATGGCACAAACAATTTTGGATTATGGAGATGCGAGGTTTTGGATGCGCTGAACGCGCAGAATTTGGATGATACCTTAGAGTTAGATGGCAAGCCATATGACATTGAAGAGAAGGTTTGGAAGAAGATGAATCGAACAGCGTGTGGTGTGATTAGATCTTGTTTGACTCAAGATCTAAAATATGATATGATGAATAAGACTTCTGCGAAGAAGATTTGGGAGATTCTCGAAAGCAAGTATCTGACAAAGAGTGTTGAGAACCGCTTGCATTTGAAGAGGAGACTTTATCGTTTCCAGTTGAAGAAGGAACCTCAATTAGAGATCATATGAATACCTACACAAAGCTTCTTATGGATTTGGCTAATGTGGATGTCATGATTGAAGATGAGGACAAGGCGTTGTTGTTGTTGAGTTTCTTGCCCAACGAGGAATATGAGACATTCGTCCTTACTCTGATTAATGGGAAGGTATCTCTTTCGTATGAGGTCACTCCTGCACTAGTGAATTATCAGCTTCGGAAGAAGGATAAGGATACTTCGACTGAGTCGGTAGCAGATTCGTTGGCCACAAGAGGGAAGGGTCCAAACCGAAAGAATTGAAAGTCACAGTCTAGAGTAGGACATCCTACAATTAGAAAAGATCAGTGTGCTTGGTGCAAGGAGACTGGTCATTGGAAGAAAGACTGCCCAAATCTCAACGAATGGATGAAGAGTAAGCAGAAGGGAAAAGGGAAGCAACCATCATCAGAAGCAAACATCATATCGGATGGTAATATTTCTGACTCTTCTATTTATTCGCTTTCTATCAGTCCTACATGTAGCTATTCAGAGGAACCCGAGTGGATGTTGGATAGTGGTGCGACCTATCATGTGTGCCCTAGAAGGAAATGGTTCTCCAGTTTTGAGAAGCTGGATAGTGGTGTGGTGTATATGGCTGATAACCGTGCATGCCAGATCCTTATGATA